GTTTACAAGTAGGGCTTGCTGTTCAAGTGCCGCTGGGGAGTGCGGCAAGTCTTAGGCTGTCGAGATGCTTTAGGCTCTCTGCCTGGAGCCCTACGATCCCCCCAAAACCCCAAAGCCCTGAACCTGAGACCCTGAACTCTGAGCGTGAATCCCTAAACAGGCTGTGTGAACTGCTGTTTCTGGGCCTCAACCCCTAAGCCTCTAAACCCTTCGTGTACTTTGGATACAGGAACCCACAGGGCCTCGGTTGAGGGGTTGAGGGGTTTAGGGCCTGAGTAGCCTTTAGGGAGCCCTGGGTTTCGTTCAGCTCCCTGACCCCGTTCTGCCTCGTACCAACCATGATCGCGCACCGCCCATACAGGGTTGAGCGGAAAGCAATACCTCGGCAAACAAAAAGGAACTTTCAAAGACCTGAACCCAGTTTCTGGCAAGGTGTCTGGGCTATGCCCTACGTTCCTGTACTCCCCTTGATCTCATGCTTAGGGATGCTTGAGTCGGAGTGCAGTCACACAGGTATGTGGTAAGAACAACAGCGGCCGGGCGCAGTTGGCACATGCTCTAAGAGATTGTGACAGCCGTTCTTGACCCTATCCAAAGACACCCTGTGCCTTTGCAAAGAAGAGGATGAAGGGTTACCGATTTAAGTTACTCTGACTAAGCCCAGACTCAATTTTGAGGGTTGTGAGGCAAAGTTTTCGAGGTTTGGGTGGTGGCATCGGAGCCAGGCAGGTGCCCTTGGCAGCTGCAGCGCTGCAAGCCTGTGTGTGGTAATGTGGCGTTCCCAGACCCCACTGAAAATCTCAATGCCAAACCGCTACAGGGTTTTTGGTTTCCAGCTCTCAGCACAACTCCACACATGGACTGGACTTTCAGGGTCGACGCCTGGGCGTCTGGTGGTTCAAAAACGAAGCACGGACCCTACAATGAGAAGACTTTTCGTCCAAGCGGAACATGCCCGGAGTTCACAGTTGCTGCGTCTGAAGCACCCCTCGGCGATGCGTTCTCGGAGGAACTTCAGCAAACTCGGTCCGTCGTGATACTCCTTAGGTCTTGTGGCATGAATGCTGGTCGTTTCACTTCGCCCCAGGATCGCGTGCTTGGGTTAGGGTTTATGGCTTAGGGTTTTGGGGCTGTAGCCTGGGACTGGAGCACGAGGTCACTAGGGCAACTGCAGAAGAGCATATTAACCCAAAGGGCCCGGACCCTGAGGATCCCAATATCCTTTAGTGTAATCAAAGCACTAAAAGCCCTAAACACAAAGGCTGGGCTCCCTGGAAATGGCACTTGGAGGTACCCTACTTATAACTACCCATGAACCTCCAAGCAAGGCTCCCAAGGCTTGTCGTTGAAGCCATGCCAGACGATCAGGTACTCCGAGTCCAACTCCTACAAACCATCGACAGGTCAGGGGCCCCTGAAGCCCCAAACAAATAAAGCCCTAAAGAGGGTGGTTTAAGCAAGTTCTAAAGAAGCTAGGGTTTAGGGGTTCTAGGGGTTTTGAGGGTTTAGGAGGGGTGACAGCGCAGCTGGGTGGAGTGTCCGGTCAGAGGGGGGGGCTTTGCTGCTGGCGCAGCCCTTCTGGGAATGGGGCACTCTCTCTTCGCTACCCTCTTGTGCCCTCCATTCAGAAAGTGATACAACAGGGTTTAGAACCTACAGCATGCGGAACACCTTGAGGGCTCAATGAAGCTTAACACTGCAACCCCCACCCTGTGAAAGCGCGGCGTCCAGGATGGCCCTAAGCCCTATCTCCGTCTTGCGGACCATAGGATCTAAGATGTGGAGGGCGGGGCATCGACACCAAGGGCCCGTATCATAACCGGAACCTCCAAAAAGGAGCCATAGTCTTCAGATCAACAAGCCTAATAAGCCTTGCCTTTTTCCCAACAGGCTTTCAATCAAAACTAAACACCAAACCCCAAGCACCACGCCTGCGGAAAGAAAAAATTAAAGCATTCTGCGCCATGACGGACAGCGCCAGAGACTTGAGTGGCTTTGATCACCTGCTCGTTTTCAGGTTGGGGGCAATCCCTTCCAGCACAAACTATACCTAAATGGGCAAGTTCCGATGGCAATCAGATTCCGACAAAGAGGTCGTCAGCTGAGAAAGCATTCAGGGTTGAGGCTAAAGGTCAGAAAAAAGCCGTTAGGCCTGGGCCTATTTGGGGGGGTAGCTGGCGGTGAGGTTGAGGGTTAAGGGCAGAGTGTTGGGTGGGGGGGGCGCCGACTGAGAGGCGAAAACTTAACATCTACAGCTTCAAGCTCAGGGATGCGCAGGGTCAAGTAACGTGGCTCCCTACGACGTGGCGTGCAAGTCTACAAACTTTGGTTTTTGGGCATCCCACCTGCTCGACCAAGCTGTACGATGTGGGATCACCAAAGCCATACCTGTCATCCGCGTCTTGATGCTCCACTATAGCCAGTTCATGCCCGGCAAGCAGCACCCACCCTATACCCTAAACCGTAAACACGTCGAGCCCCCAGGACCCCCAAATGCCTCGCGTTCGGGGCCCTTGACTTGTCTGCATTTTCCAGGGGAAAGGTTTGAGCGGTTTCAAGGGCGTGCAACGTTCACGGGTAGTGAAAATTCATAAGCATAGGTACCATAGAAGCATGAGTATACTCATAACCCTATTCAAGGCAGCTATCACCCTACTCACAACTACCCAAATGAACCTCCAAGGAGGAACCCTAGGACCTAGGCTAACCGAGCCAAGCCACGGAGGGATATCCGGATGTCGGCCCTGCTTGGCAGCCTCGCTGAGGACCTGCAGCTGCATTCAAATTAAGATCTTGAGGCACATGCTGCACTCTTTTTTTGCTAGATGAACCTCCTCTATTAGAGTTGGAGTGGTGGGTGTGGGGTCCTTGAATCAGGCTTCGAGGATTGAGGCTTCCGGCTCCTGCAAGGACAGGCTCCAGAGACTTTGGATCAAGTTCATATGAGCCCGTGGCACAGGGATATGCAGTCAAAAGTTTCAGTCAGGGTGTTGACCTCCTTCCCTAAACCCTAAACCCTAAACCCTAAACCCTAAACCCAGAACCCCCCCCAACTTAAGCGCTTAGGGTGAGGCTTTGGGGATTTTGCCGTGGCATCTTCGGACCTCTTGGACCTTGTTCATCATTATTGTTATCATTATTTTTTTCAAGTGGGGGTTTAGGGTTTAGGGATTTTTAGGGTCTAGGAATTTCAGGGTTTAGGGGCTCATATAAGGGGTTTCGGGAATTAGGAGCTTAAGGGTTTAAAGAAAGGGTTTTGCGGTTTAGGAGAGGGGTTCATATAAGGGGTCTAAGGGCTTAGGGTGGAAGAAGCCCTAAGCCCCCACCGGCCGTCGGAGGGCCTTGAGCCACCGCGAGGTCCACGTGTCGGAGCTTTGCTGGCTCAGAATGTCCCTGGCCAGCCAGCCACCCTAAACCCTAGCCTTAGACCTTATCGGCTTGGGATTCCCATCAAGCCCCCATACCGAACCTTTTGAATTCAGGAACACGCTTTCTACCATGATCCTTATGAAATAAGGGGGTGTATCCGTGGAAATGAGGATGATCGAGAAGCTCCATAAGGCATTTCCACAGTGGTGCGCTGACTGAATGATTGAAACTTTGGAGGCTCAGGGTTTCGACTCCACATACTCCTCGAGGCAGATTTACAGAGAAGCAACCATGAGGTTGCAGGCTTACTGACGAAGTCTTTTTAAGGACCAGACTGCGAACCCGAAGCCATGCTTCGCCACCAACACCCGAAAAGTAAAAGCCTATCAGGGTGTCGGGCTGGTAAAAACACAAAAAGGTGCGGAATTCCTGGTGGCCCGAAAGGCCTACAGTTGCACATCACCCACCACACTGGAGCTCATTTCTTGAAACTTAGAATAAGGGATCTTGAAGATGAGAATAGGGGAATTCTTGGGGATCAGCCCTACTTTCTCTACAGACTTTGGCGGCGGACCGTGCCCTTCAAGGATTGGGCTTCTGAGAGCCTGAAGTTTCTACCCTCAAGCCATGTAACAACCTGCAAGTGGCAGAAGCAAAGCTGCGTCTCGCTTGACAACAAGCAAAGCCTAAGACTCAAACCCGGTGAAACCCTGAATGCCACCCTAAACCCTTTTGAACCCAGACTCCAACCTAAACTCTAAACCCTAAACCCCAAACCCTGAAGCCGAACCCGATTTCAGTTGTGGAGCCTGGTTCTGTCCAGGCTCCACAGCTCCAGCTCGATCTGCTCTGGTGGGAGTTGCTCATAGAGCATTCCCTTGCTGCCTGCTCGCAGGTTCATTTGGGTAGTCCTATGTAGGGTTTAGGGTTGAGGAGTATTTTTAAGTAGGGTTGTAAGTGCCCCAAAAGGCTTCTAAGTCAAGGTATCATACTTAGAACAGCACTTAAGACTACCCATGAACCTCCAAGTGAAATAGCTTCAGGATTCGGCTTCGAGATAGTTCTGAGGTTCCCAGGCAACCGAGGGAAACAAAAAGGGTGGGTTTCTCTGTTTAATGGGGTTGTTCAAGAGGTAGAACATAGTAACTCGCTTAACTATTATCCTTAGAACTCCACTTATAGAAGAAGGGTTTCAAGTTTTTGAGGTTCAAATCTTTCGGGCATTGTAAGGATCAGGATGGTTTCTAGGTCGAAAGCATTTGGGGTTTAGGGTTTGGGTGTCGGGTTTAGGGTTTTGGGGGTTTAGGTTTGACAAGGATGATAGCCGAACGGATTGTTTGGGCAGTGCATACTACAGTTCAGGAGGTATGAGGGGGTGATACCGATATCTCATCCCTAAACCCAGTACGCTGTGGGGGCGGGGAGAGGGGGGAGGGGGCTGTTTCTTGACCCATAGCATGGAAACCGGAACACTTTTTGTGCTCGTGATGCTTACAATGCCTTGGCATATTCTCGCCGGCAGGTTTTAGGGATTCTTTTTGTGTATGAACTACGGTATATTCATAGTTCAAAGGTATTTGGGGGTTTGGGTTTGGGGGGTGCTGGGCTTCACTGGATGAGTTCCCAGAAGCCCACAGTGAAGGTGTCGAAGTCCGAGACGACAGGCTTGACAGTCCGAACCACTTTGCTGCTGTGTGGCGCGGTCCACTCCTGCTAAGTAGCAGGGGGATCCAGTGCTCTAATCTACAGGTAAGACTCCAAAAAGCTAAAAGATCCTCATCCCCATACCCCAAGGGTATGGTAAAGGGAAGCCCCAACTCTAATCATCCTTAAACAATCTTCCAACTTTCTGGGAGTTTACTGTATGTTTTTAGGGCTAGCTGCAGGTTGTTTTGGGTCTTGGCTCTCTTTGCAATTCCTTTCGCAATAAGAAAATGCACGAAGTCCTGTGAACAAGAACGGCGAACCCTCATTCGGGCGTACAAGAGGGATCGTGTCCAAAGCCCCATGGCATAGCGAAATTCAGGAAGATATCAACCCCCCAACAAGAGTGAGGGGGTCCTGAGTGTCACTAGCGCGCGCTTACTCTTCGTTGTCTCTCTCTCGCTCTGTCTTTCTTTTTTGTGACTTGAAGGTCAGGGTCTCCACTCCTTTCTGCGGGTTGCGCGCACGCCCCGTCTGTAGGGAACAAGCGGCGATAAGGACATGTGATCCCAATCGTCCCTCCGTGAAAGCTTTCACATGGTCTTCTCCAGTGCGTTTTGTTTGCTTTCCAGTTTTTCCATAGTATAAACCCAAAATCCAAGTTGAATTCTCTCTTTCTCTATCTTTGCTAAACTTGAGAAATTTCGGTGAGTGAGTTCCGCCTCCGTCCCCCTCCGCAAACACACACAACCCCTCCTCAAACACACAAGAAGAAAGCCGCGTCCTCTGCATAAGCGATCAGAAGTCCGTGTGGATTCATCGGGTTCGTCGCATCATATTGGTAGAGAACCACCTTGAACAATGATAAACCTGAACCCTGACCCTAAATTCTGAGCCTACCTAAACATGAGGTATGAAGACGCGTCGGGCGCTGGTTAAAATTCCACTTCGCAAGGTGTGAGGCCATAGCACCAGTCGTGACAGCTCAAGACCCCATGTAGAAACGGAGGGTGGACAGGGTGTAGGGTTTAGGGGAAGTTCTGGATCTTCGGGGAAAGGTAAAGGTGGGCTCAGGGCGTAGAAAAGTTGCCTCCGCCCCCACTCCCAAAGCCATTGCGCGAAGGTGCTCGTGGATTGCTGGTCTCGTCCCGGACAGCATGCAGATTCCTTGGAGATCTGCAAGGATGCCGACCCTAAAATTCCTTAAAGGGTTTGTGTTGAGGGTTTCGGAATATTTCTATCAAGCGGTGAGAGTGCAGGTCGAACAGCAAGCCCAGCAAATCCCTTGAGCAACTCTCCTAGACGCTTGCCCCTGAGCCCTTTGAAGCTCGAGGCCAGAACGGCCAGAACCCTAAAATCCTAAGTCCTCGATTCTAAACCCTCAACCCCTAAACCGAGAAACCCTAAACCCTTACAAACTCACTTTCGGGACCATGGGTCATGTCCATGAAAGCAGGTTCAGAGTGGCGGCCTGTCTCCCAGCCTGCCTGGAACTGAATGTCCTGGCTTTTCTTATGATTATGATTTATGAGTATGATTAATGTTAGTTATTTAAATAAATATGTATATATATATATAATATGTAAATTTCTACTTGTCCAGTTCCCCAGGTGAAACTACTGACCGAAACCCCAAACCCTAAAACTTGAGGTTGCAAGGAGCACTCTACCACCAAAAGATGGTTCTGCACGCAGCAGATGCTGGAAAGCACTGGCCATACTGGCCCGAATCCCTGAATTTTTGGACACTCCCCCCCCCCCCCCCAAGCTACAGGCTGAGACCTGAACCTTTTGAAATGGGCTTCCCAGAGAATTCTTAAACTCTGCATTTAGGAGCCCGAATCCTTGAACCCGAAGCCATTCGACGCCTCTCGACCCCAGGGTTCGTAATGTTGAGGGGCGCTTCGGATTTCATGGTTCAAGTTCGTTGAGCTAGGAAACTTAGGCACCCAGAGCAATTAAGTACAAGTGAGGGGTCCAGCTAAAGCACGTAGACTCAGACTGTGCCTCCCAGCCCCCAGAATAGGTGTCTCCTGCTTGTCGATGTAGACAATCCGCATCAATATTTCTGGCACACGCGCCCCAAAGGCATCTGGGCAATTCTATGTATTTGTGGTCCTGCTTTGAGTAGCCTGACTATAAGGCCCTATACAACAAAAGCAAGACCAAAAGCCCCGCAAAGGAACCGTTGTCATAGTTTAGGTAAACCGCGTCTCCAAAGAATCGGCTGGGAGCTTCGGTAGTCCACTGTCTGTGGGGTTGTAACTTACGGTTTGAAGGCTTTCGGGGTTCAGGTTTTGGAGTGATCCGTAGCACCTAGCTTTCGGGCTTGTGAGCCGTAGGAGCTTGAGCGTAGCAATGCGAGCAGCCCCCCTCGTCTTTGATATCCTAGTGCTGAGGCGCTTGGCCACAAACAGTGCTTAGCCAACTGCTATCTCAGGTCTCATGCAACGTCTTCCTCTTGCGATGCATCTTGCGCATTGGAACCTCAACCTCCGGATTTGCAATGCCTGGGATGCACTATAGTCTGAGGCTGGCAATTATCAGGATGTTATATAGTCCCAATAGGTTCGCGCAGCACAAGAGGCCTGGATAGGAATCATCCATGGAGATCGCCTTCGCCAGTTGCCCGGTCCGACCTCGGTGCTGAGGCAGCTGGGCCTCGAGGTTAAGGCATATGCCCCTTACGGGATTATATATGGTACCTTATTCCCCCATTCCCTACTGCCCAACACTAGGGGAAGCCAGCAAGATCGTAACATCTAACCCCCAGAGCTGTGCACACGGAAGCCGCGCCGCTGTTGGCTACGTCTCTCATCTCCTGCAGTGCGATCTCCCGATTCTGCTTTGAGTCGTAGTAGATCGTTACCTTGAGATCGCAAGGCTCTCACGAAAGTGCTCTGAGGCAGCCCTTCTGAAAAACCCGAACAACATGACAATTCAAGAAGTCCCTGAACCCGAAAACCAACCAACCCTCATTCTTCATCAAGGTATGTCTAGTTGCGATGATACCTGGGTTCTTAATTGAACTTTTTTGTGTGGTAATGCTGATTCCTCTTGTGTTGCACTAGCTAGCCGTAAAGATTAGGTATGATTCTGATACAGTCCCCTCAAAAAGCACTACAAGTAAGGTTCCAGGTGAGGCCTAAAGCTGTTCTGCTGCAATGGAGGGGTGTGTAGTTCTCTACATCCTTTCGGGTCCTACATGCAGTACGGCGTCCTTTTAAAACGGGATCCCAATAAACCCTCACCCTAAAGCCTAAACCCTAAACCCTAAACCCTATTCCAGAGAACTTTTCTTCTGGCAGAAGGATCTGTAGGCTGGACGGCTGGGGATGTTTGGTGCTTGAAGACTCTGCAGGCCGGGAATCCAAGTTAGGGTTTAGGGTTTAGGGTTTAGGGATTAGGGTCTAGGGTTTCGGGGACCCTAAATCCTGAGCTTACCCTAGACCCTAAGCTCTAAATACACCTGAAACATCTCAACAGGGGCAGATCTACAGTCTCCCAATGTCCTGTCTAGAGCCCCCGCTACTGACCTTCTACTTGTTCGCCCAAGCACAAAGGCATTGGCGGGCGAGTCCTCAATCTTGCCTTTGTCTGAGTTGTCGTGGATTTGCAGAAACCTGGAGGCATATGCTCACGCATCTGCAGCCGGGGCTGTTTGGAATATCTACGCCCTGGTATTCTTAGAGCGCTTCGAATCTCGACGCTCAACATCCTGCAAACCCTTTTCCGTTCTTTCCCCATTCCAGAACCAAGCTAATCAAAATGAACATTTCACACCAACGCCCCACAGTCGTCTCAAGCTCAGCCGACCCTACTGTCTAGATCCTCCCACTTGGATGTTCATGGATACTTAGAAGTAGGGTTATTATACCGTTTTCTGGTACTCATAACCTTACTTCTAACTACCCTAAACCTAAACCCTAAACCCTAAACCCTAAACCCTAAACCCTAAACCCTAAACCCTAAACCCTACTCCGGGGGTTGAGCTCTTAGGGCTTCGAAGCCAAGAGGCGGCACAAAGCCAGACAGGCGGTTCCTCTTGGCAGACTTTCCCTTCCTCAAAGCTCGGCTTCGGTTTAGGGTTTAGGGTTTAGGGTTTAGGGTTTAGGGTTTAGGGTTTAGGGTTTAGGGTTTAGGGTTTAGGGTTTTGGGTTTAGGGTTTAAGGTTTAGGGTTTAGGGCTTAGTAGCTTGGCTTCGGGTGGTTTAGGGGGTTTGGTGGGAAGAGGGTTTATGAGCCCAAAACTCTCACAATGGGGGGTTTAAGGAGTTGAGGGTATATGAATGCGAAACCTTTGACGGGGGACTTCGGGTGCTTAGGGCTTCTAAACCCCAAGCGAGACAGATGGAGTGGCAGAGAGGAGTGTGAGGGAGGAGACGACAGGCAGAGGAGATGGAGGCGGCCGAGAGATGCCGAGAGGGAAGCAGTGAGGGAGAGAATTGAGAGCCCAAGAAAGATGGGATGCGAGTCAGATTGTGTGAGGTTCAGAGGGCCAGGCCTGACGGAAGTCGGATGACACTTGGGATGCAGGGTGAAGTTTCGACAGGTAGGATGTAAGACATTTGCAGTGCAAAAAACATCGGTGTTCTCCTTAGAACCCTGACAAAAAAATTAAATGCGCCTCCGTACCTTATATGCACCCATATACATGAAAAGTCATATGTATAATTCTGAAGAGACTGTCGCACTGCTCCAAATAGCAGTAACTGCTGTCCCGCCCCTAAACATGAGAACCTTAATTAAGCCCTACAAGCCCTTTCCCCCCCACATGATATCCCCATCCGTGGTTCATGTGGTTCGTGCTGGCTGTGGGTTCTTGGGCTAACAGGGGGGAGGATACCATGGGGGGGGAAGGGGGGTCGAGATCGCGGAGCGCGGACGCACGGAAACCGTATAAACCCAGTCCCGCTCCGTAACCATGAGCTTGCTCTTCGACTTGCCTTTGCAGCTTTTCGAGCTCGAACAGATTACCCACAAGCCTGGCCTCAGCCATCGAGAATTCAGAAAACCCAACCTGGCAACGATCCGGGAAACTTCAATCCATTCTCGTGCGAGGATCCCGCTCTACCATAGCCCCTTGAAGATGCAGCGGTAAGCTCAAGATACCCAAAAACAGGGTGCTAAGCTCCATCCCCAAGTAAGGTGCGAACCTTTCTAGCTACACCTCGCCAAGGTTCACGTTGAGCCCTTTGCCCACAGCTGTTTGGTTGAGCATCTTCGCGAGGGCATCACCTCAGCGGGCTGAGTTTAGGGTTTAAGGTTTAGGGAACCTCCCTAAACCCTAAACCCTAAACCCTAAACCCTAAACCCTAAAACGAACACCCCAAGCCCTGACCGATCCCTCCGCTCCAAAACAAGCCTTTCGAGGGCCTGTCGGGCTTGGGTTTGGCCCGGATAAGGAGCATGCCTTTCGATCCAATACCCATGTCGCCCGAAACAAGGTCCTTATGATGATGAGATCAGGTAGACTTCTTCATTCAGGGCAGTTCGGAAACTTAAGGGCCCAAATAGGTGCCATGTTTAGGTTTGCTTGGAGGTTCACTGTTCATGGGGGAATTCTAAGTGGGGCCCACTTATAAGTGCCCCAAATAGGGCTGTAAGTATTTTATAACCCTGCTTTCTATCCATGAACCTCCAAGTCGGGTTTAGGGTTAAAACTTCTCTCCGATCGCGGCACGGCTGGTGGGCCGATAGACCGCAAACCAATGCGTCTGTGGGGTCGACTTTGGCGCCTGTCATGGAAGTCCAAGGTGCTTCAAGGGCTCGGAGACGAGATTGTTTACTTTTGGTTTTGCTCAGGGTTGACGGTTTCAGGGTGTTGGGTTTTAAGGGCAGGGGTGTGGCACTTAGGGCAGTTTGTGAGGCAAAATGCCTCTTGGTGCGTCCTAAGGCTTAAGGCTTTATATGCACAACTTTAGGGTTGAGGCCTGAAGGCTTGTAGGGTTTAGCTTGCATCCGCAAGCCCCCCTAGAATCCACAAACCCAGCTTCGCAAACCGTGTCCTTTCCAGCTGTCGTGGTCATTGAACCTAAAAAGCCCGGGGCATGGTCTACATGTTGAGGGTTTAGGGTTTAGTGTTACAGTTACAGGGCGCAGGCTTGTGGAGTTCTGCTTTCTAGATCGTCTCAGGGAACTTGTGGGGGGCGGAAACCGAGCGAATGAAATCCGCTGGCCGCTTGTCTGCAACACGACAGAAAGCAATTCCAGGTTCAGGCAGACGCTGAAAACCCTAAACCCAAAGCTCGCAACCCTGTAAGCTCAACACCCGAAGGCAATCCTCCGAACTAGACAGACACCCCAAACCTTAAACCCCAAGCACCCGAAGACCATTAAGCCGCATGTGGCCCTACAGCTTGAAGCCTGAAAAACGCTCTTGGGAAGAGCTCGGGTAGGTTCAGGGTTTAGGGTTTAGGGTAGCCTCATATCCGAAACCCTACAAGCCCCAAGAAAAAAGTCCGGACGCCCAAAGGCCATGAAACACAGACACAAAGACAGACTTAGCGACCAAACCTCCAAAAGTTCAATACGTCCTACACTAAACCAAAAAAACAACAACACCCCCAAAACAACTCCCTCTATAGAAGTCTCAGCACGAGCCAAATGCCGGCTGACTAGGGGGTATAGACTACCTGATTCACAGACAGGACCCTAGCTGGAGTGGGGCGGGCTTCCTGTGCAAGACCTCAACCTTTTCAAGCCTTGAAAGCCCTGAACTCCCAATACCTCCAGACCTTAAGCTCAAGCCAAAAGCGCGACTCCAACAAGCCCTGAACACCTAAAGCCTCCAGGACCCTAAAACCTCTCAAACACGCAACAAGGTCCCTAACAATCCTCCTGAAACCCGGAAACAAAGACCCTGAAAGCAACCTAACACACCCCTTACAAAACAACCCTAAATCCTGAACCCTAAACAACACAACCCCTAAACCCTAAACCCTAAACCCTAAACCCTAAACCCTAAACCCTAAAACCCTCAACCCGAAGATCCCGGAGCCAAGCCTCAATTCCACCGGGCCCTCGGATGCTCCCGGGGCTCCAGAAATCTGCCAAGGCCTCCCCAGTGGGATTTTGGCTGTTTTCGTGTTTAGGGTTTAGGGTTTAGGGTTTAGGGTTTAAGGCCCTTGAAATTCCAGAGGTTAGGGCTTAGCACTCCTTTGCCACGAGTTTTAGGGGTTTAGGGTGGTTTAGGGCCCTGCTTTTTGCCACCCGCCCAGTTTTAGGTTCGTTAGGGTTTAGGCGGGGAAGTCAGGCCCTTCACGACCCCAGATGTGCCAAACCCCCCGCCCCCCAAGTCACGCGCACACCCTCTGCGAAACCAAGCCAAGGTTTAGGGTTTAGGGTTTAGGGTTTAGGGTTTAGGGTTTAGGGTTTAGGGTTTAGGGTTTAGGGTTTAGGGTTTAGGGTTTAGGGTTTAGGGTTTTGGGGTTTAGGGTTTTGGGGTTTAGGGTCAGTTCGTCTCTGCTCGTCGGCTCGGAGGCCTTTCTCGGATCGCTGGCCTTGGGGCGCAGGTCTTGGTAGGTTTTAGGCTGACCTAAACCCAAAACCCTAAGTAACATTCCGAGCTAGTGTAAAACTCAGAAGGGGTAGTTTGGGTAGCTTATAAACTATATTTACTAGAGGGAGTACCATGCGGCTTAGGGTTTGCAGGGGCAGTTCGAGCAGTTTCGAATTATGCTTCATATGTAGGGATATGTCGGGGTTAGACGGGGACGATCTTGGTAACTATGTATGTTGATCCGTTGCTTGAAGGCTCTCACTTCATAAGCATGAAGTTTAGAAGTACCCCTGCGAAACAAGTTGTCACAGCTAGAGCCACCCTACTAAATACTACTTCAAGCAACTCATGAAGCTTCAAGTAGTCTATGCAGCGGAGCGGGCAACATGCCTAAGAGGCCCACCTCAGTGGCGTGCTGCTGTAACTGGACATAAAAAACCCACCTCTGCAAACCCTTAACCCTGAAAACGAAGGCAGAAAAATAGGCAGAACAAGGCGAAACCCTAAACCCTGCAGAGGCCCTAACCTGGCCCTGAGGAAAAAGAGGAACTCCCGGCAGGCTGCAAGGTGAAGGCCCTCGAACATACCCCCAAACTTCGAATTGGGGGTTTCCGACTACTTAGGGATGTCCTTTCTTTCGCTCCTTGTTTCCGCTATGTTTGCAGTGTAGCTTGAAGGTTCGGGGGACTTAGGAAGTAGTTCTTTAAGTAGGGTTATTGGTAAACCCCAAGCCAGGTCCCTTTTCGGGTACTTATGACTCTACTTTACACCTACTTACTAAGTCCCTCCTCCAAGAAGCGGGCACGCCTACGTTAGCAAAGACCCCAATTGAGCCCAAGCTTGTACCCCATGCGGGCATCAGCGGCGTAGTTTTCTCGCTGCTTCAGCTCGAGTTCGACCTAGTCGAGTCATGAGGGGGTTGGTTGTCCATAACATCGGAAAGAGCCACTTGGCCACTTTCAGCTAGCGACCACACGCACCTCACCAATTCTTCTTGTACATCCCAAGAGACTGTTAGAAGCATGCCACCCTAAGAACGGATGCAGTAACGTCGGCCATATTCTAGCCCCAGGCCCATCCTCGCTTGTCTTTGCTCATGTCGTCGGTGTTTCCGCTGCCGTCGCTCGATGCTGGTCATGAAGTAGGTATAAACCCCCTAAACCCGATAACCCTAAGCATTCTGTAAGCGCAACTGGAGACTATGGCATTCTTCGTTCGCGAACTCTAGCGGTGAACGTTGTGGTTTGTCACTGAGTCGCTGCTATTGGGCTGAAAGAGGCTTAGCGGTTTCATGCGCATAAGTAGTTCGACCGATTTGTTGCTAAGTCCACAGTGCCCCCTAAACCCTAAACCCTAAACCCTAAACCCTAAACCCTAAACCCCAAACCCTAAAGTGCCCCTTTTGCTTTACAGCACAGCCGTCCTCGATTAGAGAGTGCACAAGGATTCGGCCTGGCTCGGCTTGGCTGGGTCGATTAGGGTTTAGGGTTTAGGGTTTAGGGTTTAGGGTTTAGGGTTTAGGGTTTAGGGTTTAGGGTTTAGGGTTTAGGGTTTAGGGTGAAGTAGCAACTGGCACCTGTCTATCACTTCAGTGCAGCCTGGCCACGAGCCTCTCAAAGGTATCGCGATCCAGCACGAGCCTGGGTTGCCAGGGCTTTGCGAAGCTTCGAGGCTTAATCCGCTTCATGAAGATGCGAAGTTCAGCTAAACCCTAACCCTAAACCCTAAGCCCTAAACCCTAAACCCTAAACCCTAAATTGCTGTTGCGGGTAGCTGGTGCTGCTGGGCGAGGGGTCACGGCCTATGCCTATGACTCTCATGCCGGGGCTGACCTGGACCGTGCAGCTGACACTCGCTTAGTGGAACTGCCCAAACAGCGTGGCTGTCGCAGCCGGCTAGTGCTCATGGTGCTCGCTGGTGGGGGTGCTCAGAGCGCCGCAGCCGCTGCCCTGCTCATGATGCTAGCTACCACCACGGATGCTCATGATGCTCACTGGCCGGGACTGTGGCAAAATGGGAACCATCGTGGCTGATGCTCATGAGCATCAGCTTCGCTCCCACCAGCGAGCATCACGAGCATCAGCAGAGGTGGTGCCCTTTGGGCAGATAGATCACCATCATCAGCTGTGGTGGTGCCCTTTCGGCAGCAGTACTCCCAACGAGCATCATGAGCTCAGCCTCTTTGCCTTGGGGGAGAACCTCCCCCCCCCCCCCGCCTACGAGCCTCGCGAGCATCAGCTGTGGTGCCCTTGCCCGCTCAACGTGCGTCATGAGCACTCGGGGCCACCACCCAAAGGACAGCGAAGCTGATGCTCATGATGCTGTCGTTGGGCGGGAGCGAAGCTGATGCTCTTTGAGCAGCAAAGCCCCGGCCAGAGAGCAGCGTGAGCATCAGCGGTGATGCTCGCGATGACCCATTTCTCCCCAGCCCCGCTTCTCACTACCATTTCCCAGCCCCGTTGATTCATCAGAAGCCCGTTATCTCTGTTCATATCTGACTGTTGCTTGGCGATCAGGAATGAAGAAATGCTGCTTCAGTGAGAGCTCACGACTCTGTGGCATTTGAATTCCGCTCCCCGAATTTTATAACAGTATTTCGGGTGAACTATGAGCATCTCCAAGGGCTGAAGCGTCCAAGAGCTTGATTGAATGAGCCTTTGGGCAGCAGCCCCACCCTCAGCAGTGTGCTTTGGATAGCAGGTCCCTCCAGCATTGTGAGCATCAACTTCCCTACAGACCTGGTCGGTGAGCGTCATGATTCATGATGCTCGTGATGCTCATGATGCTCGTTGGGCGGGCTGCGGCCCAAAGAGCGCGACGACAGCTGATGCTCGTGATGCTCCCCACCAGGCTACTACCCAAAGGGCAGCCAAGCTGATGCTCATGATGCTCGTTGGGCTGGCCGCGGCCCAGAGAGCACCACGACAGCTGATGCTCGTGATGCTCGCTGGTGGGGGGGCTACTACCCAAAGGGCAGCCAAGCTGATGCTCATGATGCTCGTGGGGCTGGCCGCGGCCCAGAGAGCACCACGACAGCTGATGCTCGTGATGCTCGCTGGTGGGGGCTACTACCCAAAGGGCAGCCAAGCTGATGCTCATGATGCTCGTTGGGCTGGCCGCGGCCCAGAGAGCACCACGACAGCTGATGCTCGTGTTGCTCGCTGGTGGGGGGGCTACTACCCAAGGGCAGCCAAGCTGATGCTCATGATGCTCGTTGGGCTGGCCGCGGCCCAGAGAGCACCACGACAGCTGATGCTCGTGATGCTCGCTGGTGGGGGGGCTACTACCCAAAGGGCAGCCAAGCTGATGCTCGTGATGCTCGTTGGGCTGGCCGCGGCCCAGAGAGCACGACGACAGCTGATGCTCATGATGCTCGCTGGTGGGGCCCAAAAAGCACCACGACAGCTGATGCCTGTGATGCTCGCGGGGGCTGTTACCCAAAAGGCAGCGAAACTGATGCTCGTGATGCTCGCTGCGGCCCAAAGAGTGCCACCCTGCTGCTGCTCGCGATGCTCGCTAATAACGAAGCTAATGCTCATGATGCTCGTTGGGTGGGCTGCGGCCAAGAGCGCCACCCAGCTGATGCTCGTGATGCTCGCTGGTGGCGGGCTGCTACCCAGAAGCTGATGCTCATGATGCTCGTTGGGCGGGCTGCGGCACAAACAGCGCCACCCAGCTGATGCTCGTGATGCTCGCTGGTGCAAAGGGCAGCGGAACTGATGCTCATTATGCTCGTTGGGCGGGCTGCGGCCCAAAGAGCGCCACCGACCTGATGCTCGTGACGCTCGCTGCTGGGGGGCTGCTACCCAAAGGGCAGCGAAGCTGATGCTCATGACGTTGGGCGGGCTGCGGCCCAAAGAGTGCCACCCAGCTGATGCTCGTGATGCTCCCTGCTGGGGGGCTGCTACCCAAAGGGCAGCGAAGCTGATCCTCATGATCGTTGGGCGGGCTGCCCAAAGAGCACCACCCAGCTGATTCTCGTGACGCTCGCTGCTGGGGAGCTGCTACCCAAAGGTCAGCGAAGCTGATGCTCGTGATGCTCGCTGGTGGGGGGCTGCTCCCAAAGGGCAGCGAAGCTGATGCTCATGATGCTCGTTGGGCGGGCTGCGGCCCAAAGAGCGCCACCCAGCTGATGCTCTTGATGCTCGCTGGTGGGGGGCTGCTACCCAAAGCGCAGCGAATGATGCTCATGATGCTCGTTGGGTGGGCTGCGGTCCAAAGAGCGCCACCCATCTGATGCTGGTGATGCTCGCTGGTGGGGTGCTGCTACCCAAAGGGCAGCGAAGCTGATGCTCATGATGCTCGTTGGTCGGGCTGCGGCCCAAAGAGCGCCACCCAGCTGATGCTCGTGACGCTCGCTGCTGGGGAGCTGCTACCCAAAGGTCGGCGAGGCTGCTGCTCATGATGCTCCCCAAAGAGCGCCACCCAGCTGATGCTCGTGAGGCTCGCTGGTGGGGGGCTGCTACCCTGATGCTCATGATGCTCGTTTGGCAGGCTGCGGCCCAAAGAGCGCCACCCAGCTGATGCTCGTGATGCTCGCTGGTGGGGGGCTGCTACCCAATGGGCAGCTCATCATGCTCCAGCTGATGCTCGTGATGCTCGCTGGTGGGGGGCTGCTACCCAATGGGCAGCTCATCATGCTCGTTGGGGGGCCGCGGCCCAAAGAGCGCCACCCAGCTGATGCTCGTGATGCTCGCTGGTGGGGCCTGCTACCCAAGGGCAGCGAAGCTGATGCTCATGATGCTCGCTAATGGGGCGCTGCTACCCAAAAGGGCAGCGAAGCTGATGCTCATGATGCTCGCTGGGTGGGCTGCGGCCCAAAGAGCGCCACCCGGCTGACGCTCGTGATTCTCGCTGGTGGGGCCTGCTACCCAAAGGGCAGCGAAGCTGATGCTCATGATCCTCGCTAATGGGGCGCTGCTACCCAAAGGGCAGCGAAGCTGATGCTCATGATGCTCGCTGGGCGGGCTGCGGCCCAAAGAGCGCCACCCAGCTGACGCTCGTGATGCTCGCTGGTGGGGCCTGCTACGCAAAGGGCAGCGAAGCTGCTGCTCATGATGCTCGCTAATGGGGCGCTGCTACCCAAAGGGCAGCGAAGCTGATGCTCATGATGCTCGCTGGGCGGGCTGCGGCCCAAAGAGCGCCGCTGATGCTCGCTGGTGGGGGGCTGCTACCCAAAGGGCAGCGAAGCTGATGCTCATGATGCTCGCTGGTGGGGCGCTGCTACCCAAAGGGCAGCGAAGCTGATGCTCATGATGCTCGCTGGGCGGGCTACGGCCCAAAGAGCGCCACCCAGCTGATGCTCGTGGTGCTCGCTGGTGGGGGGCTGCTACCCAAAGGGCAGCGAAGCTGATGCTCATGATGCTCGCTGGTGGGGCGCTGCTACCCAAAGAGCAGCGAAGCTGATGCTCACGATGCTCGCTGGGCGGGCTGCGGCCCAAAGAGCGCCACCCAGATGACGCTCGTGATGCTCGCTGGTGGGGGGCTGCTACCCAAAGGGCAGCGAAGCTGATGCTCATGATGATGCTCGCTCTCATGATGCTCGCTAGTGGGGCGCTGCTACCCAAAGGGCAGCGAAGCTGATGCGCATGATGCTCGCTGGTGGGGCGCTGCTACCCAAAGGGCAGCGAAGCTGATGCTCATGATGCTCGCTGGGCGGGCTGCGGCCCAAAGAGCGCCACCCAGCTGACGCTCGTGATGCTCGCTGGTGGGGCCTGCTACGCAAAGGGCAGCGAAGCTGATGCTCATGATGCTCGCTAATAGGGCGCGCGGCCCAAAGGACAGCGAAGCTGATGCTCATGATGCTCGCTGGTGGGGCGCTGCTACCCAAAGGGCAGCGAAGCTGATGCTCATGATACTCGCTGGGCGGGCTGCGGCCCAAAGAGCGCCACCCAGCTGACGCTCGTGGTGCTCGCTGGTGGGGGGCTGCTACCCAAAGGGCAGCGAAGCTGATGCTCATGATGCTCGCTGGTGGGGCGCTGCTACCCAAAGGGCAGCGAAGCTGATGCTCATGATGCTCGCTGGGCGGGCTACGGCCCAAAGAGCGCCACCCAGCTGATGCTCGTGGTGCTCGCTGGTGGGGGGCTGCTACCCAAAGGGCAGCGAAGCTGATGCTCATGATGCTCGCTGGTGGGGGGCTGCTACCCAAAGGGCAGGGAAGCTGATGCTCATGATGCTCGCTGGTGGGGGGCTGCTACCCAAAGGGCAGGGAAGCTGATGCTCATGATGCTCTCTGGTGGGGGGCTGCTACCCAAAGGGCAGGGAAGCTGATGCTCATGATGCTCGCTGGTGGGGGGCTGCTACCCAAAGGGCAAGGAAGCTGATGCTCATGATGCTCGCTGGTGGGGGGCTGCTACCCAAAGGGCAGGGAAGCTGATGCTCATGATGCTCGCTGGCGGGGGGCTGCTACCCAAAGGGCAGGGAAGCTGTGATGCTCGCTGGTGGGGGGCTGCTACCCAAAGGGCAGGGAAGCTGATGCTCATGATGCTCGCTGGTGGGGGTCGGCTACCCAAAGGGCAGGGAAGCTGATGCTCATGATGCTCGCTGGTGGGGGGCTGCTACCCAAAGGGCAGGGAAGCTGATGCTCATGATGCTCGCTGGTGGGGGGCTGCTACCCAAAGGGCAGGGAAGCCGATGCTCATGATGCTCGCTGGTGGGGGGCTGCTACCCAAAGGGCAGGGAAGCTGATGCTCATGATGCTCGCTGGTGGGGGGCTGCTACCCAAGGGGCAGGGAAGCTGATGCTCATGATGCTCGCTGGTGGGGGGCTGCTACCCAAAGGGCAGGGAAGCTGATGCTCATGATGCTCGCTGGTGGGGGGCTGCTACCCAAAGGGCAGGGAAGCTGATGCTCATGATCTCGCTGGTGGGGGGCTGCTACCCAAAGGGCAGGGAAGCTGATGCTCATGATGCTCGCTGGTGGGGGGCTGCTCGCATGCTGGGGGGCTGCTACCCAAAGGGAAGCTGATGCTCATGATGCTCGCTGGTGGGGGCTGCTGCTCATGAAAGGGCAGGGAGCTGATGCTCATGATGCTCGCTGGTGGGGGGCTGCTACCCAAAGGGCAGGAAGCTGATGCTCATGATGCTCGCTGGTGGGGGGCTGCTACCCAAAGGGCAGGGAAGCTGATGCTCATGATGCTCGCTGGTGGGGGGCTGCTACCCAAAGGGCAGGGAAGCTGATGCTCATGATGCTCGCTGGTGGGGGGCTGCTACCCAAAGGGCAAGGAAGCTGATGCTCATGATGCTCGCTGGTGGGGGGCTGCTACCCAAAGGGCAGGGAAGCTGATGCTCATGATGCTCGCTGGTGGGGGGCTGCTACCCAAAGGGCAGGGAAGCTGATGCTCATGATGCTCATTGGCCAAGGCTGTGGGAAAATGGGCTGCGCGTTCGAACCCAGGGCTTGCCGGAAGCCACCTTAGAGAAAAGGGTACCTTTTTGGTTTAAAAGGCTTTTTACGGGAACCTATAGACCCCTAAGAAAGGGAATAAGGGCCTGCTGTGTATCCGGTAGGATTGAGTTGAAAAGCCCATGTGAAGTTCAGATCTCAGGGTTTCACAAAGCTTTCGGTTGCCTCCACCAGGGTGCTGCACGGCCTGAACAGCAGCTACCCAGATGCGCAAGAGTGCCCTGACTTTTGGACTATACCCAAAAGCTCGACAAAAAGGGGGTTTGGGTTAGAGCCACCAAAAAACCTTCCCGTCAGAAAACCTGCGCACGTATACACACACACACACCCACACACAGCTTCCAGGTGCTTCAGTGGGTTTTGTTTTGGGTTCGCTAGCTCACGGAGAGAAGCCTACACCCAGCCGGTGTTCCTCAGATAGCGGCCTATTTCACATGGGTATTTGGGGCAGCTTCCATCTTCATAACCCTCAACCCAAAGCCCTAAAGCCTAACTGCTATAAGGATGATATAGGAACACCTGAACTATCTTGCAAACTCCCACAGGCCCCTGAAATTTGTACTGGTCCAGGGGCAGCTCCACATCGCTCTTGGCCTTGAGTAGGCTGAAGCTTTAGGGTTCAAGGTTGTTTAGGGTTCAGGGTTCAGCATTTCCCATGAAATCTTCACGCGGAAAACTTTGGGGTTTCGTCTTTGGGGCTGAGCCCCTGAACCCTGAACCCTATACTCAGCTCTAAACCGCTCACCCCGACATCAACGTACCAGATCGGCAGAGCCACGCAGACACCCGAAGCCAAGTTCCCGCATATTGAAATTTTCCTTCTTCCAAAATCAAGCTTCCAAGGTAAATGACCTCATAGGTATACTTACGAACATGTTGGGTGGGGGTGGGGGTGCTCATTTTCATAAACTTAGGCCCTAGATCATAAACTATAAACCCATGAACCCTGTAAGTAAAAAACTTTCCAACACCCAAAAACCCGAAACCCTCAACCCTAGACCCTGAACCCTACCCCCTGAAGCCCATACACCCTCAACCCTGAACCCTGAACCCTGAACCCTAAACCCTAAACCGTAGGCAGGTGGCAGTCACATTGGCCTGCCGCGTCTTGCGATGGATGAAGCCGAGCTCGCCGAAGCGCTGCCCTGCTGCGGCAGGCGCTTTCAGAAAGAGAGTTAGGTGGGGGGGGCTCAGGGTTTAGGGTTTAGGGTTTGGGGTTTAGGGTTTAGGGCCAGTTTAGGGTTTAGGGCTACTTGAAGGTGTATGGGTAGTACCCCAAGAACCTCCGAGTCGGGTTGTTCGATATTCTCCTCTATGATGTCCTTTTCTGCATCTAATGTAATCCTTTCCAGCAGGGCCACGTCGGGTGTGTTCCAAGCATGTGCGTACTCTCCGTCACATCTAGGGTTTAGGGTTTAGGGTCTAGGGATCCAGCTTAATCTCCGCTTTCGATGACTAAGGCGTGGAGTGGCGTTGCAAAATAAACATGCTGAAATGAATGAAGTGGCTCCGAGACCTCGGCCCCAAACGATCCTCTCAAGTCTTCAGTGCCTCCATCCCGCTTCCCTTCCTGCGCTCAGTACAAACCCCCCTAAACCCTAAACCCTAAACCCTAGACCCCTAAACCTTGTCGTGCCTGGCTTGTACTCCCTCACAGCTTGCTCTTCGGCCTCTTTCTTGTTGCCCCCGACCTTTCCCAAGCCGAGGCCGCAAGTTGCTTCCCAAAGTGCTCACGACGCAAGCAATATGAAAAAACCAGGTTTAGGGTTTAGGGTTTAGGGTTTAGGGTTTAGGGTCTCGCCAAACCCTACTTCGTTACGTTTGCTTACCCCCCCTCTCTCCAAGCTCATCATGTGTTCAGCAAGCTGCAACGTCGACCATGATAGAGGCTTCGCATTCGCCACCTGGCTGATGCAGGGCTGCTTTGGGGATTTTTTGGAGTCATGTGGATGAACAGCTCCCCCTCATCATCAAAACCACGTACTCCTTCACCCTTAACCCTATGAGCCCGAGAGGCCCTGAAATACCCTGAAGCACCTTTGTCCTTTGCACTATCACCCGAAAGCCTTCCTTCAACAACTTTGGGCAATTCAACTTCCGAAGGAAAGGGTTTAGGGTTGAGGGTTTAGGGTGATGGAAGCATGCCCGGCAAGCTCAGCAGAATGTAAAGCTCGGCCGGAACATTCTCTCCTTTGGAGAGACTTTTGCCGGCTTGCACGATCTCCTTGCGGCTGCCCAGTGCAAAAATGATGATCCCTGAACCCTGCAAGCTTTATGCCCTGTAACTCCGCTGCCTAATATCCTTTAAGACACCCGAACCCTGTACCCTGCTCAAGTGCTTTGGATGGAATAGCGAGGCCTGAGCAACCCTAAACCCTAAACCAGAAACCCTTAATCCTAAAACCTAAACCCTAAACCCAAACCCTAAACCCTAAACCCTAAACCCTACCCAAACCCGAAGCCTACAATCAAGGTGCAGAGCAACCAAAGCTCCACAAAGGATGCCCTGGTTAGCCTCGTGGAGATTTTGCTGCCCACAAAGGTTCCTTACTCAGCCTTTCTGGGCTCAGGGTTTAGGGTGGCATTTCTTGGAGTTTAGGCTTGTAGGCGAGCTCCTCTCCCTGCTTGATGATCAGTTGCCCCTTCTGGTAGGTCCGCTTCTCCTCACGCTGGCACACTCATGTCCTACCAATTGCTTAAGAACCACCAAAGAAAGAAAACTAACACTCCTTGTAAGGGTAATACAGGGTTTACTTTTTTGAACATTTTTTGGGGTTCTTAAGCAATAGTAATGTCGGCACAAGCAGCAGACAGAATCCGTGAGGCAGCCGTCCTCTTGAGCTAGATCCCTTACAGGAACCCCTGCTACGGCTGAGAAAGCCCTAAGCTGCTATTTGCTTAAGAACCACCCCAAAAAATAGCAATTTTCTTCCTTATTAGGGCAATGTAGGGGTGATTCTTCTTGAATTTTTTGGGAGGGGTTCTTAAGGGAAGAGTGGTAAACCCTGCACCCTGAATCCCCAAGCCAAGCCGAGGCACGACAATGTCGGTGATCCGCGCGATAAGCTCATCATCGAAAGTCTCGAAAATAGGAACCTTCTGCTCCCGATTTGACCCAGATCGTGGCAAGCGAGAGCTGTGCTTTTCAAGAACCTCCAAAATTCTCAGGTTTTAGGCTGCATGCTGGAGAGATGCAGCACCCAGCTGTGAGGTGCGGGCTAAAACTATCCCGAACCCTGAACATCTACATGTGAGCCCTTTCCCTCCTTATCCGTTACATGCAGATGCCCCCACAAGCACCTCAATGGTTCACAGCTCTGAGATCGAGTGAGGCGCTTGTCTGAGATACTTCTCCTTTAGCGTCCGCATCCGCATCGCAGAGCGAGTGATGATGTTGAAGTACCTGAGGCAGAGGCTGCCTGTAACATCTAGGGTCCCGTGAATCGGGAATCCCAAGCCTGAAAACTCGGGCCAAGTGTTCAGCCATGATCCTGCGCACCCCTGCAGGGTCCGGACACCTAAAGCCTGAGGCCTAACCTCCATTCTTACAGCTTGTCGGTTGTTAGGCCCCAACACAACCTAAGCCCTTAAGCCTGTGGGATCCCGCCAAGCCACAAGACCAAAAAGGAAAAAGAGTCCCGACCGAGCTGAACATGTCAAACGTTTAGGATCCGTGGTAAGCACGTGTCTACCCCAACCCCTCCTCCGGCCCCATCCACCATAAAGGTCTACCACTCAAGCATACACATACATATATATATATATGTATGTGTATATGTACACACACACACACAATTACCAGACCAAGCAGGCCAGGTGGCGCTTCTCGCCGCAGCTTCCCGACTAGGCAACCACTCGGCGTTGTCATGGTCACCCTTCGCGTGAATCCCCACCTGAACTCACCCAGAGAGCCCCGTTTAGGGTTTAGGGTTTAGGGTTGCAGTTGAGGTACTGTACCCAGAGACCCCGATACCCTGTGACTTGCAGTTAAGGCAATGCACCTGAAGCCATGTATATCGGGATTTTGTAGTGCTTTTTACCATGTAAAAAGGGTATAACTTGGTAATACTCCTCAATTGAAGGGGGTGTTGGGCTTTTCTGGGCAATCAGGGCCTGGGCAAAGGAGCCCCATGTCTGAACCCCACAGAGGACTCCCCAAGTCCTAGGATGAGGGTTTAGGGTTTAGGGTTTAGGGTTTCGGGTTTCGGGTTTTATCTGAAAGGCAGCTTTCCCAAGACGGCGGCCGTGTAGAAGGCAGGGGCATTACACAAACATGTTTCATAGGATTCAGCCAGGCAGTGAATCCACTCACCTGGTCTGGGGCACTCCGTGCGGGCTCTATGCCGGAGATAAGACGACTCTAAACCCCAAACCCTGTGCATCTTTGGGATACAGTCTGTGCAGTGCTGAGGGCATGCTTGAAATTGTGGGAAGTCGGTTTCCAACTGCCAAACTCAGGGCTCCGACCACAATCCTGCCTGCACCTCTAGCTGCCCGTTACCTGCAAAACAGCCGGATTGCTTGAGGACGGGTGGATGCTCAGCAGGCCCCACTCCTGCGACATTCTGTTTGACCTTGAAGGTTGACTCCGTAAAGACCCGGTAACCGGCAACCCTAAACCTGAAATCTCCGTCTTCCGGACAGGGGCAGCATCGTGTGCTCGCCGAAGAATTGCCCCTCCTCAAACCTCACAAACAGTAGCAGCGCAAGCTTTCGAATGCTGGAGGTCCACTCTTGCAGCTCAGAGTGAACCGGGGAGTTCACTGTCATTCAGAGGAAGAAGCTTGAAGAGAACGATAGGGTTTTGTTCAGGGCGGAGGAGCCACAGCTCCTTCTAGATGTTCCATGCTGGGCATCGTGGTTCAAACATGTTGAAAGGCTAAATGCAGTTGTTTAACGCGCTGAGACATCTTACAGGTTCACGAGTTTGTAGCAAGATCTGAATATGCATTTGCCATGGGACGTTAAGAACCGAATTGAACACTTCCCCTGCGACCAGCCAGCCACACGCCAAAGCTTCCCGCCAGAAAAGTCCTAAACCCTAAGCCCTAAACCCTAAACCGCCCAGCGGCGTGACCCACCTGCTCTTTGATCTCCTCTGCGTCATGTGACATGGGCACTTGTGGGCCAATGGGCTCGGCTCTTGCAAGTGAGTGTGCGGGGGTTTCGGGTTTCGGGCTTCGGGTTTAGGGCTTAGGGTGGAGGGCGCGGGATCACATTGGCCTATTGGCAAAGGTGCAGGTGCCGAGCCTTCACAGAAAGTGGCTCTGTAAAGGGAGCCATGTGCCCCTTTAATTGCAAAGTAAACTTCAAACTGCCCAAATGTCCTTTGTCTGAGTTAAACAATATTCGCAAGTAAGTTCTCTGGGGCCTCCGTCGGGTTCTTGCGCTAGACCCTAAAGGCCCTAAACTTCCTAAACCCTTTAGGCCCCAAGGAATGCTTTAGGATTCCCCACTGGGTGTATAAGGGCACAAACTGTCACTCCCTCTCTGCAACGTGTGCTTCGCGGTACCTAAAGTTTCCAAAAGTAGCCTGCTCTCTACCTAGGGGCGGGGGTAGTTGTAAGTAGGGTTGCAAGCACCCTAAATACGCTTATACCTGCTTGTTTCCTTGATGTTCCGTGAGCCAAAGGCTTTTGGGAAACTCAACCCTGCACCCTACAACTGCCAGTTCCCAGTTTCTCCCGTACTTCAGATCCCTAAGCTCCGAAATCCGACGACAGGACTCTCGACCTTCAACGTTGAACCCTGAAACTCGAAACAAACTACATACGAAGACCCCGAAGATTGGATACCCTAATCCTAAACCCTAAACTCTAAACCCTAAACTCTAAACTCTAAGGCTCTGAACCTGCCAAACTCTGGCCTGAAGATGTTGTCGCTCTCGTTGTCCTCCGCCTCGGCCACCACTTGCCCAGAGATGACCATAAAGCCGCTCCTGTTCGACAAGAGAAGCGTTTCGGGTTACACACTTGGAGGTTCATAGGTAGATTTTTGTAGGGTTAGAAGCATGGTAAGTTTGCTTATCGCCCTACTTATAAGTACCCATGAACCTCCAAATAGGCCATGGACTGTCCCGATTGTGACGTTTTCTGGCACCCGCCTAGCTGACCTAGTCCAAGCGAAAGGATTAACTGATCTCGTATGATCCTCTACCTCTCAGAAAAGTGGTTGTTTGGTTGGCTTGTCGCCCGTCTTCACCTGGTCTGCTCTGTTTTTGGGTTCTTTCTAGCTGGTCCTTGAAACCCAGCAGATCAAGCGTCGGGGCATGATGACGACGTCTCTCAGCATGCAAATTTTGTAGGTCTCTGCATATTCTTTGCTCTGGTTGACGTGGACTGGATGTACAGTATACAGATCCTACCGCATCTACGCCATGCTCTTTCGAGGGCGGGGGCGTCTACTGCCGCCGCCTCTCAGCATCCGTATTGACAGAACAATGTCGCCAATAGTCCATGTCAAGTTTCCCTCCGAAGCAACATGGCTTGCCCTTGCGCTTTCATCACAAAGGGCGTTCTCCTAGAATCGATTTGCCTGTGACATTGCGGTTGATCACATGGGCATCTGTCTGGGTGCTTGGAAGACGCACTTCCCAAAGGCTGCATCAACAAGACCGCATCTTTGCTTTGGCCCACTGGATTGCATGTGGCGCAGCGGGTCAAATGATGTAAAGCAGCACCTAGATGTTGGCACTCTGTTCCTGGTTGTGATGTTTTCACCTTCCCCAAAGCATAAGCAACCCAAGGAATCAGACATGGGTCAGCTGCCATAGGGTGGAAATGCGTAAGCAAGATATAACTCGTGTTTTATCCCCTGAGACCTGTAGTTTTACTAGGGCTTGTCGTCATTCACGACAGGCCCCCTAAACCCTACCCAAACCCCAAACCCCAAACCCCAAACCCCAAACCCCAAACCCCAAACTCATAACCCCAAACCTTAAACTAAAGCCATGCAGCCGAAAACCGCATCTTTAGCCATAAGGGGGGATGGCGGGGCCCCTACTTCTCAGCAACAGCAACCCCCCAACTGCTCAGCGCCCCGTGGCGCCTACCATACTCACCTTTGGTGTAGATGGTGGCTTTTCGCTCGTAGCCTTGGCTTGCAGGGGACTCCGGCCTGTGATCTCCGGGGCATACTTCGAGTTCATATTTCGAAAGAGGAGCCCAAATGAGATATCCAAAAGGGCATGTGTCCCAGCTAGTAATCTAGTATGTACTTAGGCACAGAATAAGGAAGATTATCTACTTAAAGGCTGGTAAGAAGCACCAATCCACATGAAGGCAATAGGCCCAGGCATGCAAGAAGCATTTCCGCTAGCTCGGTGAGAGTGTCACATACCTCCTGAAGACCCGCAATATCTCTAAGGACTTGCAACTTGGGGAATCGGGTGACGACAAACAGACTAGCTAAAATGCTGAGATCCCACGGACTTGAACCTGACCGCTTCATGCGGTTACCAAACCCTAAACAGCGCTAAACCCTAAACCCTAAAGCACGACTCGCTTGGGGTTTTGGCTTTCCGACACCTAAATAATAGTGGGTTTTGTGGGCAGCATGAGCCAGGCGACGGACCACTTCAATGGCCTCCACTATGGTGTGCACGTCCTGAGAGCTGAGCACGTCTTGTCAGGCTTTGGGATGCTCCCCAATAAACTAACAGTCCTTTATAAGGATTGTAATACAGGTGCACCCCTTGCATATCGGATAGTTCGAGCCAAGGGCAAAGTGCAAAGTGCCCCCAAACCCTGAAACCCTAACCCTAAACTTCAGGCTTAGAAGGAGGGACCCCGCACAATGGACCCTTAATCTTCTTCCCCTAAATAGCCCCGATACAGACCTTATAAAGCCCCTATATACCTCAGTAGCCCCTAACCCTCAAAGAACCTCTAAGGTCCCTTATGAGGGTCCCTCCTTTGGTTCCTTGATAAACCCTAAACCCTAAACCCTAAACCCTAAACCCTAAACCCTAAACCCTAAACCCTAAACCCTAAACCCTAAACCCAAACCCTAAACCCCAAACCCCAAACCCTAAACCCTAACCCCCCTCCCTTTTGTTCCTGCAATCAACCTCTGGGATGGCTCAGTGCTTCGACTCTGGGTTCTTTTGGTTTAGGGTTTAGGGCTAGGGTTTAGGGTTTAGGGTTTAGGGTTTAGGGTTTAGGGTTTAGGGCTTAGGGCTTAGGAGTTATGTAGAGTTTAGGGTTGAACCCTTTTCATAGCATCTGCCGCCGGCTGGCCCGTTCGTCGACGCCTTGGAAAATAGGGCAGCTCCTCAGCTTCCAAAGAGCCCAATACTTGAGAGGGTTTAGGGTTTGGGGTTTAGGGTTGTAGGGACATTTAGGGTTTAGGGTTTAGGGTTTCGGGTTTAGGGTTTAGGTTTTTTTTTTGCCACCCGCCTGGCCGACCCCTACTGGGATCACTCCGCAGGGAACAATCGTAGGGTTTAGGGTTTAGGGTTTAGGGTTTAGGGTTTAGGGACATTTAGGGTTTAGGGGTTGTTTCGGGTTTAGGGTTCAGGGCTAGGGTTTCGGGTTTAGGGTTTACGGAGTTATCCTGCAGTTTGTAGGGTTCTCGTGGGTTTGGGGTTGGGAAACCCTAAGCCCGACATATCTGCGATGCCCCTTATAAAGGACTATAGCTTCATTCAATATATCAGTAATATATCTTTAAAGCATCTTCCTCCCTAAAGAAGGGGTATTGGGCGTGTGCTTTCTTTGGTGCAAAAACGAATCCCGTGACTCCTAGACTACTAGACCCTGAGCCTGTACCCCTAAACCCTAAACCCTAAACCCGGAAGTTAGGTTCCCGGGCCCCTCAGGAACAAAAGGTCGCACTACCCTGCAAGGCCCTATGATGGTCGCGCAACGCTAAACCCTAAACCCTAAACCCTAAACCCTAAACCCTAAACCCTAAACCCTAAACTCGAAACCCCCCAAAACCCCCCAAAAACCCCACACCCGAGAGTTGACAGAGTCCCTCCGAGGTGCCTCACAGCGCAAAGCAGCTTGATTCGGTGCTCCTCAGACTTCGGGTAGACAGGTGCGGTCCACTCGGCCCAACCTGGGTTTAGGGTTTAGGGTTTAGGGTTTCGGGTTTAGGGCTGTGTTCGCGAAAAAGTGGGACATGCGTAGAGGCCGAGTGAATTGGAGTGCTTGCTTTGCTAACCCAGGTAGCTTGCATCATGCTATAAGGGGAGAATCATAGCATTTGTATTTAGACTTCACAATAACAGCTTTCATCTGCGTAATGGCTCCACTTCTCTTGGAGCGAGAAGTTGGCATTTCTCTGAAGCGCAGACCCTAAAACCCTAAACCAGAAGCGCTAAACCAAAACTCGTTCGGAAAGCTTCAGTATCCCATGGATGTACGAAACAAGCACCATGCTGCAGCTTGGCCACGTCCACCTAAGCCCTGTAGATCCCAGATCCTGAACGGTTGCACCCTCTGAGCTGTAGGCCCCGCCACAGCCCTGCCGTACAGTTTACCACCTAAGCTGATGAATGGGTTTAGCGGTTAGGGCCAAACAACCAATCAGGGCCGAAGATAGCTTTGACAAAAGCGGCCC